ATAAACCATAACCATGAGTACAGCAGCTTCTGAGTCCTGTTAGTCCTTCTAGCAAATCATCAAGCTGAAGGGTTGTCTTGGGAATCCCCAACACATTAATAACCTAACCTTCCACCTTAAGAAACCAGAAAAATAGCACACTAAACCCAAAGCTAGCAGAAGGAAGGAAGTAATAAAGATTAGAGTGGGAAGAAATGAAATAGAGAATAAAAAAACAATAAAGAAAATCAGCAAAACCAAAGTTGTTTCTATGAAAAGATAACAGAGACAAAACTTGATAGTGTTGATGTGTTGTGAGGTTGTTAACCATTGTCATAGGGCAACATGTATACTAACTGTTAAATGAGAAACTATTTTGTTCTGTAAGCCTTCATCTAAAGTGAGAATAGCAGCACAATTGTAAGAGCGTAGTCGATGTCACTGAACTGTGCATGTAGAAATTTTTGAAATGGTGTATCTTTGGCTATGTATATTTTCACCAAAAAAAAAAAAAAGGTCGAGAAGGGAGAGGGTTGACATGTTGTGGGGTTGTTAACCAATGTCATAAAACAATATGTGTACTACTGTTTCATGAGAAACTATTTGTTCTGTAAGCCTTCACCTGAAGTACAATTAAAAAAAAAGACAAAACTTGAGCTAGACTGACCAATAAAAAAATAGAAGAGACTCAAATTACTAAAATCAGGAATGAAAGAGTTGACATTACTGCCAACCTTGCAGAAATAAAAAGGATTATAAGGGAATATTAGGAACAATTGTATGCCAACAAATTAGATAACTTTGATGAAATGGACAAATTCCTAGAAAGACACAAACAGCTGAAACTGACTCAAGAAGAAATAGAATATCTGAGTAGACCTATAACTAGTAAAAAGACTGATTTAGTAATCAAAAACTTCCCGCAAAGAAGAGTCCAGGCTCAGATGGCTTCAGTGGTAAATTCAACCAAATGTTTAAAGAAGAATTAGCACCCACCCTGCACAAACTTTTTCAAAAGTTACAAGAGAAGGACACATTTCCTAACTCATTCTGTGAGGCCAGTAATACCCCGATACCAAAATAAGACAGAGACATCACGAGTAAAGAAATATCTCTTATGAATATAGATTCCAAAATCCTCAACAAAATACTAGCAAACTGAATCCAGCAGCATATAAAAAGGATTAGACACCATAACCAAGTGGGATTTATCCCAGGAATGCAAGGGTGGTTTAACATATGAAAATCAATGTAATATGCCACATTAATAAAATAAAGGACAGAAATACATGATCATCTCATTAGATGCAAAAAAAGCAGTTGATGGCCTAAAGGAGACTGGAGAAACCGCGAGAGTATGGCCCCCAGACACCCTTTTAGCTCAGTGGTGAAGTTACCTCCAAGGTTCCCTGTTCAGCCTGGGAGTGGACAGCCTCGTAAAACCAAATGAGACTAACAAGGTACAGGAGTCCAGTGACAAGGGCCAGAAGGCAGAAGGGGACAAGGAAGCTGGTGATAGGGAACCCAAGGTTGAGTAAGGATATCGTTGATGTGTTGTGAGATTGTTAACCATTGTCATAGGGCAACATTTGTAGTAACTGTTAAACAAGAAACTATTTTGCTCTGTAAGCCTTCATCTTAAATGAGAATAACAGCACAATTGGAAGAGCGTAGTCAATGTCACTGAACTGTGTATGTAGCAATTTTTGAAATGGTGTATCTTTGGCTATGTGTATTTTCACCAAAAAAAAAAAAGGTTGAGAATTTAGAGGGTTAATATGTTGTGGGGTTGTTAACCAATGTCATAAAACAACATGTGTACTACTGTTTCATGAGAAACTATTTGTTCTGTAAGCTTTCACCTGAAGTACAATAAGATATAAAAGAAAAGAAAAAAAAAGCAGTTGACAAAATCCAACACCCTTTCATGATAAAAACACTCAACAAACTAGAAATAGAAGGGGAATTCTTCAGCTTCATAAAGAGCATCTATGAGAAACCCACAGCTAATATGTACTTAATGGTGAATGACTGAATGCTTTCCCCCTAAGATCAGGAGCAAGAAAAGAATGCTCTCACTTTTCATCATTGTATTGGTGGTTCTGGCAAGATCATTTGATAAGAAACAGAAATAAAAGGTACCCAGATTGGAAAGGAAGAAATAAAACTATCTCTATTCCCAGATGACATGATCTTGTATGTAGAAAATCCTAAGGAATCTATTCACACACACAGACACAAAAACCATTAGAACTAATAAATGATTTCAGCAGGGTTGCAGGATAGGGGATTAATATACAAAACCCAGTTGTACTTCTATACAGTAGCAATTAACGATCCACAAATGAAATTAAGAAAACAATTTTATTCACAATAGCATCAAAAAGAGTAAAATACTTAAGAATAAATTCAACTAAGGAAGTGTAAGACTTGTGCACTGAAAAATACAAAATACATGAAAGCAGACCTAAACAAATGGAAACACATCCCATATTGTTAAGATGGCAGTACTCCTCAAATTGATCTACAGACTAATATAATATCAAACTCTTAACTGGCTTCTTTGCAGAAATAGATGAGTTGATCTTAAAATTCATGTGTAAATTTAAGGGACCCAGAACAACCAAAACAGTCTTGAAAAAGAAGAAGAAAATTGGAGGACTCATACATCCCAATTTCAAAACTACAATAATCAACCAATTAATTCATTAATCAATCCACAAGCAGTGTAATAATGGAATAAGGAAAGGCTAATCTATTGAAATGGAATTGAGAATTCAGAATTAACCCCTTTCATTTATGATTAATTGATTTTTTGACAAATGTGCCAAATTCAATGAGGAAATGAATAATTTGTTCACATATGAGGCTGGGACAACTGGATATCCACATGCAAAAGAGTGAAGTTGGACCCCTACCTCACAACATAAACATAATTAACTCAAAATGGAGCATAGACCTAAATGTAAGAGCTGTTATACTAAAACTCTTAAAAGACAAAATAGGCCTAAATCTTTGTGACCTTAGATTAGGCAGTGTTTTTAGATATGGTACCAAGAGCACAAGTGAAAAAAGAATAGATAAATTGGACTACATCAAAATTAAAAACTTGTATGTCTAAGGACACCATCAAGAAAGTGAAAAGACAACCCACAGAATGGGAGAAAATTATTTGTAAATCATTTTTTCTGAAAAGGGACTTGTAATAAGATTATACAAAGAACTCTTACAAATCAACCATATAAAGGCAAATATTTATAAAATGGACAAAGAACTTGAACTGAAGTGTCTTCAAAGAAGATATATAATGGCCAATAAACATATGAAAAGATGCTCAACAACATTAGTCATTAGGAAATGCAAATTAAAACCACAGTGATATACCCCCTAGGATTACTAGACTCAAAAGACTGATAATCAGTGTTGGTGAGGATATGGATAATTTGGAACCCTCCTACACTGTTGGTTGGAATGTAAAATGGTACAGCCTCTTTAGAAGACAATTTGACAGTTCCTCAAAAAGTTAAAGTTTCCATGTGACTCAGCAATTCCACTCCTAGGTGTGTACCCGAGAGAATTGGAAAATACGTCCCCATAAAACTTGTAAAGGAACATTCTTGGTGGTGTTATTCGTAATAACCAAAAAAAGGAAATAACCCAAATGTACAACAGCTGATGAATGGATATACAATGGAATATTACTCAACCATTAAAAGGAATAAAGTACCAATTCATGCTATAACATGAATGAATCTTGAAAACATTATGCTAAGTGAAAGAAGCCAGACACAAAGGCCTTATATATGATTCAGGTTTTGTGGAATGTCCGTAATAGACAGATCTATAGAGACAAAAAGTAAATTAGTGGTCACCTAGGGCTGGGAGGAGGGAGAAGGGAGTGACTGCTAATAGGTACGTCGTTTCTTTTTAGGATGATGAAAACATTCTGTAATTAGGTTGTGGTTGGTGATAGTTGCACAACTCTGTACATCTAAAAATCACTGAATTGTATACCTTAAAAGGATGAATTTTATGATACGTGAATTATATTTCAATAAAGCTATTATAAAAAATAATCTACTAGTTCATTAGAAATTTTGTTTATCCCAAGCTCAGCAAATTAAGCAGTTCAGAAATTCAGTCTTTTCTCCTAATGTAGGGTTGTGGTTAGCAACAAGTGGGTATATTAGAGCTTGCAATCTCTTTTCAGAGTGGAAGATTACAAAGCTGCCTCTGTTGTTTTTTTTTTCTCAATAGCCTTTGGAATTAAATGTTAGTGACTAAGTGCAGAGCTTATGAGAAGACCAGTTTTGGCTGTACCTTGATGCTCATTCTGTTCTTCTCTCCTCTGTAATGAACAAACATTTATTGAGCATTTGCTGATTACCAAGCACTATGCTAAACACTGTCTACTTTGCAGGATTGTTATGAGGGGTAGATGAGAATACATAAATCATATATGGAAATGTCAAACACAGTACCTGGCATTTAGGATCTGCTCGATAAATATTATTATCCTTTCTTATCATTTTGCAAAGCCCAGCAAACACTAGCTCAGTGTGTGGAGTTAAACTGAGGTTAGGGATATGGAAATAAATGAACAAACCCTAATTCCAAAGAGACAGCAAAGCATTTGCTCTTTATTGTTGGAAAGTGGTTAGAGATGTTGGCCACGTATGCCTTATTGTTTAATAGTCTAACTTACTGCAATTTGTCATGTTTTCCTTTCTAGGTTATTATATTATATAAAAACCCATTGCCATCAAGTCAATTCTGACTCATAGGGACCCTATAGGACAGAGTAGAACTTTCACATAGGGTTTCCAAGGCTATAAATCTTTATGGAAGCAGACTGCCACGGATTTTTAGCTCATGACTGTGTGAAAATAGGTATTTGGCTAAAGTGTTTTAATGATTCTGAGCCAGTTAGATCATTTGAATCTCATGCCTACCCTACCCTAAATGTAATGTTGCATGCTGGGCTTTGAATGTACTAAAATATTCTTTTGTTATTTTCCTAGAATGGAGCTGGTTTATCAAAATCCAGAGGAAGCCGAATTGGATTTGATAGCACACAGTGGGTATGTACAGTAAGCAAGAAATTCCTTAATTATAATCTTCATTTAGTTCATTTATTGATATATTTAATAAGTATTTCTTGAATGATGACAGTGATAAAAGCTGCCTTGAGGATGTGGGAGGGGTTGGGGCAGATCCTATGACAAGTGCTTTGTATGCAGTATCTCATTTAGTCCTTGTGGAAACTTTAGGAAGTCAGTACAAATTGTTATCCTCAATTGGCTTAGAGAGACTGAGGTTAGTTAGCTAAGAAGTGGATGAGTCCAGATTCTAACTCTGGTTGTCTACCACCAAAACCCTCGTTTACTGAGCTATGGTGCTTCCCCAAATGAATGAATATAGGAATAAGAGTTGAACTATGAATAAGGGAAAATAAAATCAAGAATAAAAATCTGTTCAGCATGTTTCCTTTGTAAGAAAAGAGAAACTAACAGTATATACAAATATCCTTGTTTTGTTTTACAAATTTCAGAGCCTGCACATTTATAAAATATATTTTCCTACCTTTTTTTAACTAAATTATGAATGAAAAATGATGTTAGGTTACTAATAAAGAAAGACATTTATCCTGCTACTATACATTATGGAAAGTACCAGACATTTCTTATTGATGCACTTCAGTCTTTGACTTCTCTGTAACCAGAGACATGAAAGATTTTAAATTAGACACGGGCTTTCCAATCACCAAGCAGCTAAAAAACAGTGATAATTTTAGGTCACTGCCGACACCAGCTGGTTTTGGACTACTCTTTAAAAGGTAAAGTCTGGGATAGCCTGTTATCAGGCTCCTCAGCTACCTAGTCTAGAGCATCAGTGTGAATTTTTAACTTGTCAAAAATAGCAAATGTTTTGCTCTGTGAACTTAAGGTAGTCTGAGGGGAAAGGTAAGCATTATATAGTTGGAATTTATACTCACAGTTATAGTAATTTATAGTCACAGTTATAAAGACTCTAGCCAATTAAATAAAAAGGGATATTTTGTGCACTTCTTTCTAGCCCTTCCCTGTATCTCTTTGCACCCTTAAGAAGCATACACGTCTAATACTTGCACCAGATTTATTGTCCTGTGGGTGAAATAATTCATTGAGATTTGAAATTCGATTTTTAATAGCTGGGAAATATGCCTGTCTGAAGGCAGTAGGGGTGCTCAGTCATAAATTTTAACGTTCTAAAATTTGATGATGCTTATAATAATGTAAACTTTTCAAGTTTGTCAGTTGTTGTGTGCCGTCGAGTTGATTCCTACTCATAGCGACCCTATAGGACAGAGTAGAACTGCCCCATAGGGTTTCCAAGGAGCGGCTGGTGGATTTGAACTGCTGACCTTTTGATGAGCAGCCAAGCTGTTGATCACTGCACCAGCAGGGCTCTCCTCACATGTGCACTTAAAAGAGTATGCTCAGAAAATGTTTTAAAGCTGTAATAGCTTCAGTGAGATAGAAGATTTTGATTGGATTTGATTGATTTTCAAATGTTAGATCAACCTTCCATTCTTAGTTGGTCGTGTCATGATGTTTACTGTTTTTTTTTAATTACTGGAATTGATTTTCTAATATTTTGTTAAGTATTTTGCATGTATTCTCATGAGGGATAGTGGTCTGTAATTTTCTTTTTTTGTAATATCTTTGTCAGAATTTGTTATTAGTGTTACGCTGGCCTCATGAAACAAATGTTTCTTTCTGCTCAATTTCCTGAAAGGGTGTTTGTAGGATTGGTACTATTTCTTCCTTAAATTCTTCATAGAGTTCACCAGTGAAACCATCTGAGTCTGGAGTTTTTTGCTTGTTTGTTTGAGGGTGGGTTTTTTGCTTGTTTATTTTTAAATAACAAATTCAATTTCTTTTATAGATACAGGGCAATTCAGATTTCCTGCTTTATCCTGGGGTAGTTTTGTTAAGTTATATTTTTCAAGCAGTTTGTTCATTTCATCTAAGTGGTTGAATTTTTGCCATAAAGTTGTTTTTTCCTAACTTTTTACTTAGCTGCCTCTCCCGTTAAGAAATAATAAACCCCTCTAGGGCAGAGATTATTGTATTCTTGGTATTTGCATAATATTCTCCACTAAAAACAAATGATGAGACTGATCCCTAGCTTTTTCTCATAGTTTTGATATACTTATAATCCTTGATATCCTTATCTTTTTATTTTTTATCTTGTATATATTTGGTTACGTTCCTTCTGCTTTTGTGAGTAATAATTTATTCTTAATTCCATCAAGCACCTTTTTGCTGGGCATACTTCCCTTTGAAAGCAGTATGCAATAATGCATACCAGTTATTCTGTTTCTTTACTACTTTTAGATATTATTTACATCTAAGTGTGATTTAGTCTATCTTCATTCTAATTTTGAGATTTGATTTTTCAGTAGAGGGTACTACTTACTACCCAGCAGAATTTATTTACAATACTGCAATATTATTAAGAAGTTAAACTGTATATGAGAATGATCAAACAGACAGTATATTTTAGTCTGAGTTTTTTTTTTTAGATTTTCAAGTGGTATTAAAATACAGAGAAAAATGGCATGTACTCTTGATTTTTGATTTTGAAAGGGTCGACATGACAGATTTTTAAAAGCTGACAGAGCTGGTATTACCTCTTCCACTTTTGCTTGAGAAAATTTAGCTAATACCAAGAGAATAATTTTTAAGCCCAAACTTTTCATCTCAGATACCACTTCTTCTATGAAGATTTTCCTTTTTATGTACAATCAATTAGTAGCTTAGTGTTCTGTGCTAATGTGTTGTATATATTTCAGTTTTAGCATATTTTATCTTGTATTATAAGTATGTTTTCATACTTCTTAGTAGACTGTACTTCTTGAGAGTAGGGACTTTATTTATTTATTTTAGAACAATTATAAGCATGGTAACTAGAGTATACACTATGCATCCTTTTAAAAATCAATGAATAAAAATGTAATAAATCAGGTTATTGTATTGTTTTAGTGGAATTAAGGGGATTCTTTTCCTTTCAAACAGCGTGCAGTTAAAAAATTTATTATGCTAACATCCAGCCAGAATGTACCAGTGTTCCTAATTGATCCTTTAATTCTGGAATTGATTAATAAAAACTCTGAACAGATCAAAAATACTTCTTATGGCACCACTTCAGACTGCAAGTTTTTCTGTGTTCCAAGAGACTTTACTGTGTTTGCACTGCAGTATCACCTCTGGAAGAATGAGGTAAGATGCTTTCACATAATGAAATGTGTGTCTTTTGCAAAATAGTATGGGGTTATACCAGTTTAAAATGTAAAACATGAAAATGTTTTCTTAAAGCTTTTTATAAATTGTGTCAGGAACATTAAGTTTTTTTGTTTTTCGTTTTCCAGCTATAAGTAACAGAACACAATTAATAATGGCTTAAGCAAATAGAGTTTATTTTTCTCCTCTGATATGAGGTTAAATGGTTGAATGATGTTGATATTAGCAGCACAAGCTGTAGGATACCTTGATTGCCCCAAGCACAGGTCAACTTACACAGTCCTTCAGTAGAGTAAACTTTGGCTTTTTCCTGGTCCATGGTTCCTTCCAGGCAGTGATGCCAATGATAAAACAGATCATATGTATATATAATTGCATGGTTTTTGTTTGCTTGATTTTTTCTTTCCTCTCAATTTTTATATTTTGAAAATTTTTAAACCTATAAAAAAGTTAGAACATGGTATTTTAGAATTATTTTTTAGTTTTAATCAAAGTAGTACTAAGTTTAAAGTCAGGTAGTAATACAAAGCTCATACTGAAAACAGCAGTGTCTACCTTCCTCTCCACACATCATATTCCCACTTCTAGAGTCAACCACTGTCAAGTCTTTCTACCTGGTTTGTCTTCTCATTTATAAATGAAATATTTATATTTCTATTTTTATTATTTTTATTTAGATTGTTATTATGAAGTATGAGACTGAGCTATTATACCTACTTTGTCACATACACGTACACACATACTTCTTTCATCATCATTCTAAAATGACTATTTTATAGTTAAATAATAGTAAGTGTTTACATGACTATGAATATGTAAGCTACCTAGTTTACTCTGGTTATATTCCTTTTCTTGTACAACCCTTTTTTTTCTTTGCTTGTTTTCTGCGTATCTATCAATAATACAACAGAAATACAAAACTCAATAGCATCTAACACATCAGCTAATCTCTTGGTTCCATTTTTTTTCTTGGAGACATCCCTTTTGGATCTCTTGGTCTTTCTGTTCTAGACTGGTCTCCTGTGCAGATATTGTTCTGTAACTCTTCTTCACAATACCTGCATCTTTCCTATGTTAAAAAATTCCTGTGTTCTAGATCCTGTGTTTTCTTCTTGGTTTATTCCATCATTCTAAGGGAGCACATTCTCCCATAACCTCCCGAGAAAAAGAGTGCATAGGAGGTTGAAACCTTGCATATCAGAAAATGTTTCTATTTTACCTTCACATTTGATTTCTAGTTTGGTTTCTGAGTCAGTTAGCTCCTACGTAGCAAATCACCCCAAAATTTAGTGGCATAAAACAACAGCCATTTATTTAACTCGTGATTCTGTGAGTTAGCAGTTTAGGTAGGGTTTAGCTGGGTGGTTCTTTTGATATCAACTAAACTCTCTCATGTAGCTGCTAATCAGCTAGGCAGCTCTGCTTCTTCAGGATGGCTGGCTGTCACAAGGAGCAGTGGAGGTGCCTGCAGTGTGTCTTTCATCACCCAGGCTAGTCCAGGCTTTTTCATAGAGCAGAGAGAGAGCAAAAGCATGCAAGGTCTCTTGGTGCCTAGGGTTCAAACCAGGAAAACATTGCTGCTGCTTTTGTCCAAAGGAAGTCACAAGGTCAGCCCAGGTTCAAATGGTGAAGAATTAGACTCTACCTTTTGGATGAGAAGAGGTGCAAAGTCATATTGCTGTGGTTGTAGATTCAGGGAGGAAGAGAAGTTGAGACCATTTTTTGCAATCTGCCAAAGCTGAATGTAGAATTCTAGGTTAGAAAATATCTTTCCTGTCAACTCTGAAGGCTGAAGCTTTGCTGCACTGTCCTTTAGAATCCATTTTTGCTACTGAGAAATTATTATTATAGTAGCAGTTTATGGTGTCGAGATATAAAAGAATTACTTTTTTAAAGTACTTCTGAAGATAAAGGTTATTAGAAGTTACATTGAGAATTACAAGTTTAATCTTAAGTGCTATACTGATGTTAACATTTACTTTATAGATATTAACCAGAGAACTCTAAGATGAACATTCTTATTACAAGGAAGAAATTTGTATTAATTTTCATAAAGAGAGTCCACGCTGTGTAGTTTCTCATTTTTTCTACTTTTATTCTCCCACTACCACCTTCCCCTCCCCAACCCAATTTTAAATCTTCAGGCAAGTAGCAGATTAGCACAAAAATGTGATGGCTGAAATCATTATAAAAATCACTTTTGTTTTGCTACTAGTATTTGGCTTTAAATATTCAAGTTTGATGTTTCTTTGGTTCTAGGAAGGCTGGTTTCAGATAGCTGAGAATATGGGATTTCAGTGCCTAAAGATTCAGAGCAAAGATCCCCGGCTAGATGGAATAGACTCACTTTCTGGAACTGAAATCCCCCTGCACTATATCTGCAAATTGGCTACTCATGCCATCCACTTGGTGGTCTTTCATGAAAGGAGTGGCAACTACCTCTGGCATGGCCATCTACGACTCAAAAGACACATTGACAGGAAATTTGTTCCTTTTCGAAAGTTACAGTTTGGTCGTTATCCTGGAGCATTTGACAGGTAAGTGCAGAGTGCGAAGGGGAAATATGAAACCTGTGTTGTCCAGGCCTGAATTCATGCTTTTTTTTTCTTTTTTTTCACATTTACTGATGAAATCTACTATGTAATTCACATAAACCAGTTTTGAAATGAAATATTCAACACAAACTCCTGCTCATAGGTACAAGGAAATATACGTAAGAATGCTCAATGCAGCATTGTTTTTAATGCCCCCAACCTAGATGCAACTCAAATGTCCTTCAACAATAGAAGACATAAATAAATTTATATATGTATGTATGTTTTTCATTCAGAGGAATATTGTACAGCAGTGAAATGAATGAAGTAGAGCTCTGTGCAACATAGATAAATCCTACAATGTTGAGTGACAGAAGCAAGGTACAAAAGAATGCAAATATTATGATTACATTTATAAAAAGTTCAAACACAAGCTATATTATGTTTATGGATGTATACTTAAATGGTGAAAGTGCTGAGAAAAGTAATGAAGTGATAGCAGAAAAGACAGGATATCTAGGGGGAGGAGAGGGAGTGTGATTAGGTAAGACAGTTTCAGGGAGGTTGGCAAAATTCAGTTTCTGTGGTTGATCCGTGGATGTTCACTTTATTATTCTGTACCTTTATTTTTTTATACACTTTCCTGTATATATTTTAAAAAAACTAAATATTTGCAAAAATACATACATAGCTATCTCTTAATAATAAAAATATTTCTCTTGAGAAAGTTATTTTAAAGGACTCATCTAAGATTGGATTAGCTATAGTTTATGATATTAACAATTATAGGATGAAAAAGACATTCTTTTATTTATAATATTTTATTGTGCTTTCGTTGAAAGTTTCCACAGCAAATTAGGTTCCCATTTAATAATTTTTATACAACTTGTTGAATGATATTGGTTACATTTTTCACAATTTGTCATCATTCTTATTCTGTTTTGGTAGTTCTGTTTCCATTAATCTAGTTTTCCTGTCCCCCCCGCCCCCCCTTACCTTCTCATCTTTGCTTTTGGGAAAATATTGACAATTTGGTCTCATATAGATGTTTTTTTAAAGGAACACAGCACTCACGGGTGATATTGTTTATTTTATGTGCCAATCTGTTTTTTAGCGGAAAGAAAAGACATTCTTGAACTTAGACATGGAGTATGAAGTTTCTAACTTAGTTGTACTTTCTGTTCCCTTTTTGAAGTCACTAATATGATACAACGATCTGCTTTAAATACCAGAACGCAGTATCAAGGTAGCAGTAAACATTTCCCTTCTGCCTTAAGATTTACCATACTTGTAAGAATTTTTATATTGAAAACTCGTTGGCAACTTCTAGAGAGACATTGCTTATATGTTATACTTGAGCAGTATTAAAGTATGTTTATTCTTATCTTCTTATTAATACTTAACTGTCACTTATTTGAATCCAGAGATTTACCAATGAATATATAAATACTAGGTAGAAGGCAAAGAGGCACTGGGCTTGATCTTCCTTCCTTCACCACCCCCTCCACACACCCAGTTCCATCCTTTACCAGGAAGGAAGGACCTAAGAACTCTTATCAGGCAGTATACAAGTTGAGAACGAAATGGGGGAAAAAGTCACTTAATTGAGAAACGACTCAAAAAGTATTCAGAATTGGGGCCTTCTACGTTTTTTGTGTTATGTGCAGTCAAACCTTTTCTGATCCAACCCAGGTATTAGGAATAAAATGGCCAAAAAAGGAGGAGTGAAAGATACTTTGTTGTTAATTTTGACTCCTTTTATTAATTATTTTAGTCAGAATCTTAATAGTCTCTAATCTCTAACCACTTACATGCATACTCTATATGTCTTTAGGAAGACATTATCTTTAAAAATTTTAAAGCTTTGAAAATTTATTTCAAAGTTTAATAATTCAGTAAAGTTCAAAATTGTCCGTCAGTAAATATTTATTAAGTATAAATGTGTTCCCTAGGGAAGAAAAGGACATCTCTGTATTATACAGTTTTATATAAAGAGGAACGGGAAACTCTAAAGGAATATTTATAGAATATGGGATTCAAAATGTGTGACTGATTCTCAGGTTAGCATTTTGCCCATTAATGAGACTGTCTGTCAGGCTATTGTAATCTACTCACGTATCTTAACTGTTAAGAACGTTTACTTCTCTAAAAGTAAATTGGCAGTTTAAAATTATGTCACTTAACTTCCCTACTTCCTTTTCTGCCTAGAATATCAAGGTGTATATAAGTCAGTAAAAAAGTGTTTCAAAATACATTAGCCAAAATGCTTAGAACTCAAACTTGCTGTTTGACGTGTGATTATCAAGGTCTTATTAAAGTCGCTGACTGACATCTGAGGTAGTTGAAGAAAATATGCTTCATGTTTAGCTTTTTTGCTGATACTTGACATTTTAAAGAGGCACCAGTATTCTAGGTTAAATTCTTATAATAAATCTTAACTTTTGTTTTCAGGCCAGACTTACAACAAGTTACCATTGATGGACTAGAAGTTCACATTCCAAAAGATCTAGTACACTTTCTAGAAGAAATACCACACTCCAGGTTTATTGAGTGTAGGTATAAAGAAGCTCGAGCATTCTTTCAGGTTAGTTGTAACCAAATAATGAACTTTTTTAAGTAAAGGAAATATTGTGTTTATATTTAGTATTTCTGGAGGGGAGATGAAGAGACTCGTGGCAAATAGATAAGAACACATCTTTTTCAGTTTATCTGTTTTTTCCTAGATTGTTTTGTCTTATTTTTTAAAATGTGAATTAAACATTGACCTATGAAAGTATTTCTTTCCTGACTGAATGATTTGACATTTATGGAGACTTTGCTTTATTTGAGTTCTTGTCAGTGTGGGGTGTTTCATATGTTTCTCGTTAATAAGGTATTTTAGAATCGTGGAAAGAACCGAGACTTTGATAGTCTAGTCTCTGTCTTCAGTTAGGATAGCCCATAAACTTTATAAAAGTTGGTTTATTCTGTTCTTGAAGCAATCCAAGTAGGATGAAGCCATGGACCATGTAGATTTAGAAAAGTCTTCATGGGAAAATATAGTTTTTCTCCGAGAGTTGACACTAAATATGAATTCTTTGTGTTTATGAAGGTTTTTGAAGATAAATGCTACACAAAGACCAAGCGCTTTTGAACTTTATCTCACTGCCCTAGCTTTCAATTTAATGAACATTTATTGAAAACCTGTTTCACAGGAACTCTGCTGACACTGGGGATATAAAGATCATTTTGAAGCCATGAATGTTCAGCTCTAAGAGATGACAAGAAACCGACACAGTAAAAACAGGCAAATTTACAGTAGAGTTTGGTACTCTAAATTTTCCACTTGCCCTTTATTTACTGGAGTCCCCTGTCAAGGAAGATATATACACAAGGTCAGGAACAAAATGGAAAATGAAGTAACAGCTTTATGATCTCTTGGCCAAGTGCCCAAGATCCACAAATGCAAGGTCTCTGTGGTAAATTGTGCTGGCATCCAGGGCCTATGCCTGACAACCCTAGTGGGTCTTTTTAGCTCTACTCCCTGCTATCTATACTTGTGGGGCTGTGAAACCTATCCAGTCACCCTTATGAATGAGAAGCTGGAGAACAGCATGTGTGGAAGGGCCTACTCTGGTAGGCAAGTGCTATCCAACATATTCTCACCACATGGTGACAGAAAGCAGAAGAGGTGGAGTTTGGTGCTTGAACTCAACCACTCACTCTTCCTGCCTTGAAGGAGTTTGTTCTGATTGTCGCTTTCATCATAGCAATTATCAGTGAATTGTAAATGCCTACCTTTCCCCCGTAGTAGGTAATGTGAACTTCTTGATGACAGGCATCTTAGTTTATTCGCCTCTGTAGCCCCAATATTTAGCACAGTACCTGGCACAAAGAAAAGGATAAATGCATGGAGAATAAGGTGCTCATCTGAATCAATTTTTTTTTTAAAGGACATTTACTAAGGCTGCTCCATTATTTAGCAAGTATTTGCGCAGACTTGTTTTGTTGGTCTTTCTGAGAAGGCAGTATAAAATGCAAAATGTTGCAAAATATTGACAAATCAGGAGGATATGTCATGTATTTTAATTCCGTTATTTTCACTATTTGCAAGAAAAACAACTTACTCATTGCATATACCTTTTGTCAACAACCACATGACTATACACGTGGACCTTGCCAGATGGAATACATAGGAATCAGATTGACTACATGTGTGGAAAGAAACGATGGAGAAAGTCAATACCATCAGTCAGAACAAGGCCAGGGGCCAGCTGTGGAACAGACCATCAATTGCTTATATGAAAGTTCAAGTTGAAGCTGAAGAAAATTAAAACAAGTCCATGAGAGCTAAAGTATGACCTTGAGTATATCCCACCTAACTTTAGAGACCATCTCAAGAAAAGTTTTGACGTATTGAACACTAATGACCGAAAATCAGACAAGTTGTGGGATGACATCAAGGACATCAGACATAAAAAAAAAAAAAAGGTCATTAAAAAGACAGGAAAGAAGGAGAAGACCAAAATGAATGTCAGAAAAGACTCTGAAACTTGCTCTTGAACATAGAGTAGCTAAAGCAAATGGAAGAAAAGATGAAGCAAAAGAGCTGAACAGAAGATTTTGAAGGATGGCTCTAGAAGACAAAGTATTATAATGAGATGTGCGAAGACCTGAAGTTAGAAAACCGAAAGGGAAGGACGCGCTCAGCATTTCTCAAGCTGAAAGAATTGAAGAAAAATTCAAGCCTTGATTTGTAATATTGAAGGATTCTATGGGTAAAAGGAGGGCTGGTTGCACAGTGGTTAAGAACTCAGGCTGCTAACCAAAAGTCGACAGTTTGAATCCACTAGCCTCTCCTTGGAAATCCTATGGGGTAGTTCTACTGTGTCCTATAGGGTCGTTTTGAGTTGGAATCAGCTCGACAGAAATGAGTATACTACAGGTATGGGGAAAATATTGAACTACACAGGAAGCATCAAAAGCAGATGGAAGGAATACACAGAGTCACTGTACCAAAAAGAATTGGTCAACGTCCAACCATTTCAGGAAGTAGTATATGATCAAGAACCGATGGTACTGAAGGAAGAAGTCCAAGCTGCACTGAAGGCATTAGTGAAAAACAAGGCTCCAGGAATTGACAGAACAGCAGTTGAGATATTTCAGCAAAAGGATGCAACACTGGAAGTGCTCATTCATCCATGTCAAGAAATTTGGAAGATAGGTACCTGGCCAACTGACTAGAAGAGATCCATATTTTTGCCCATTCCAAAGAAAGGTGATCCTTTCTTTGAATGCAGGAATTATCGAACAATATCATTAATATGACATGCAAGCAAAATTTTGCTGAAGATAATTCAGAAACATTTGTAGCAGTATATCAACAGGGAACTGCCAGAAATTCAAGCCAGATTCAGAAGAAGATGTGGAATGAGGGATATCGTTTCTGATGTCAGGTGGATCTTGACTGAAAACAGAGAATACCAGAAAGATGTTTACTTGTGTTTTATTGACTGTGCAGAGGCACTCGACTGTGTTGATCATAACAAATTATGGATAACATTGAGAAGAATGGGAATTCCAGAACACTTAAATGTGCTCATGAGGAACCTGTACATAGACCAAGAAGCAGTTGTTCAAACAGAACCTGCATGGTTTAAAATCAGGAAAGGTATGTGTCAGGTTTGTATCCTTTCCTTATACTTATTCAGTCTGTTTGCTGAGCAAATGATCTGAGAAGCTGGACTATATGAAGAAGAATGCAGCATCAGGATTGGAGGAAGAATCATTAACAATTTGTGACATGCAGATGAAAACCTTGCTTGCTGAAAACAAAGGGTTTGAAGCACTTACTGATGAAAATCAAAGACTGCAGCCTTCAGTATGGATTACGTCTCAACAAATAGAAAACAAAAATCCTCACAACTGGACCAATAAGCAACATCGTGATAAAAGGAGAAGTTGTCAAGAATTTCATTTTACAAGATCAAGAAGGGAGAGGGTTGACATGTTGTGGGATTGTTAAGCAATGTCATAAAACAGTATGTGTACTGCTGTTTAATGAGAAACTGTTCTGTAAACCTTCACCTGAAGTACAATAAAAATAAATAAATTAATTAAAAAACATTTTCATTTTAATTGGATCCATAGTCAACACCCATGGAAGCAGCAATCAAGAAATCAAACAACGTATTGCATCGGGCAAATCTGCTACAAAAGATCTCTTTAAAAGTGTTGAAAAGCGAAGATGTCACTTTGAAGACTAAGGTGCACCTGACCCCAAGCCATGGTATTTTCAGTCGCCTCATATGCATTGGAAAGCTGGACAATGAATAAGGAAGACCACAGAAGAATTGATACTTTTGAATTATGGTATAGGCAAAGAATATTAATATACCATGGACTGCCAAAAGAATGAACAAATCTGTCATGGAAGAAGTACAGCCAGAATGCTCCTTAGAAGCAAGGATGTGGAGACTTTGTTTCATGTACTTTGGACATATTATCAGGAGGGACCAGTCCCTGGAGAAGGACATCATGCTTGGTAAAGTAGAGGGTCAGCAAAAAAGAGGAAGACCCTCAACAAGATGGATTGACACAGTGGCCGCAGCAATAGTCTCGAGTGTAACAGTGATTGTGAGGATGGCGCAGGACCAGGCAGTGTGTCATTCTGTTGTTCATAGGGTCATTATGAGTTGGAACCGACTGGATGGCACCTAACAACAGCAACATTTTCACTTTTGTTTTTGAAATTTAAAATTTAAAGGTCAAGCAGTCAGCATTTGAATACAGAATATGGATGACAGATGTTCAGCAAGCTTATTAGTTTATCATAACCTCATAGTTTTGATGTTGAAAGTACCATCAAATGAACTACAATACTGTCTGGAGGTGTCTATTCATAACAGATCAGGTAGAACTTTGTATTTATCATCATGTTATTCTGAATCCTTAACTTCCTGCAAGACAAACTTGTGATTCCTATTTTTTCTCCCCTGCGAGTATACTGGTGTTACTGATACAGAATGTCTAATGGCATTGATAATCTTTTGCATCTTTATCCTCTTAAATATTTCATTCTTTATAATTTCTTATGTTAAAACTGTGATTGAAAATACTAGGTCAGTTATCAAGTTAAAGTGGACATGCATAACTTTAAACACTTGATGGCGCCAAGCAGTGTTAAATACAATGCCTGCTGTGAAACAGAAGCAATGCACTAATCCAGTAAATCCCATATAGCAGCTTCCTAACTTTCTTCTCTTTTTTAATAGTATTTTTTGAAGCAATGTCAAACTTACAGAAAGGTTGTAATTATATTACAAATAACTTTTTTCCCCTGAACTTCTTCCACTACCCATTTCATATTCCCTTTGCCCTCAGTAATACCTCTGCTGGTCATGGTTCTTTGTTTGGTGGGGTGACCCAAACCATTCCCTCAAACAATTTAGTATTTTGTAAATGTGTGTGTGTGTATGTGTGAGAATAGAGAGAGACAGAAGAGAAGAGAAAGACAAAAAATAGATCTGCATTCCTGACAAAGGTTGAATGAATAGCCCTTCTGGTCTTTACAATAAATTCTTACTTTAGGGAAAAAAAAAAAAA